ACGTGTCAAAAACTGTAATGGTAGCTTGTAGGTTACACCAGATGAATAAGTCGAAAAGGAACCAATCAGCACAAGGAAAAAGAGTGGACGAATCAGCTATCGGTCAATCGACCAGTATGTGTCTGTGCTTGCTCATAGGCTCGCGGTTTAGCGGACGACACACATGCAACAATTGGGAAGAAGCCTTCCCACTACTGTTGCTAGCCCACCGAGCGTCTAAGCAAGCAGGCACCAAGAGATCCCCATTCCAGTTAGTGTACGGCCGCAGACCACGACTTCCGGTAGATCTGGAGATAGGAGTTTGGCTGGCTTGCCAGGTACCGCCAAGGGAAGCACGGAACGACAGAAAGTTGGCAAACCGAAATCTGAACACAACTCAGAACCGATGGAAAGCTCCCAATTCAATATGAAAAAACCGTCCATGGATTCCCCACTCGATTCGAAGGTGAGCTACAGAGACTAGCAACGTGTGGCCTCATGTGTTCCCGGAGAGAAGATATGCCGAAGTGGAAAGGACCTTATGAAGTAATCGGCCGAAGAGGGCCTGTATACACCATCGCCCGACAGGGAGATGGGCAGCGAGTCCACGCTAGTGACTTGCGGAAATGGTATGAACGAGTAGAGGAAACGACAACATGCATGGAACAGCTTCGAAGATCGAAGATACTACGTGAGAGGTCATCTATGGCGAACACTATGGAGGGGAGGGGTGTGGTGCACTACTTTGAGTAGCATGGATATCAACGAGGACACGCAAAGGAAATAGGTAAATCATGAGACGCCGGTAGACGGAGGAGGTGTGGTGGAAAATCAACCGGAAGATGTACACGAGGGGCGCGTGGCAACCTAAACAGATGCTCGGTAAATGAAAGGTTGCAACGGCGCATCTCTCCGGAAGGTGCCGTGAATGTCATGCGCGAACTGGACTCGCGTTCCTGTGGTTGAGTTGTTATGTTAACCAAACATGCGTTCTTCCATAAACAGATTGTCCGCCCCACGTTGCGTTCTCAACAAGCTGACGTTGTCAGGTGCTCATCTAGCGAGTATCCGGTCATCGGTTCCAACAATCCGAGGCTTGTGAAAGAGGAGGCGGTGGTCCAAACGACCGAACGCTTTCGAGAAGTCCCGGTAGGCAACGTCGACCCACTCTGGCATCGGCTGACTCTGTCCAGCTTGCTCGGGCTAGCAGCAGGCTTGTAGTGCTGGATCGATCTCGGCGGGGTCCATGTTTCTGTGACACTAGGATGTTGTTGCTCTCAAGATATCCCATGAGCGCCTCTGTAATTATACATTCCGTTACTAGGTAAAACTGGGAGGAGAATAATTGGACGGTAGTTCGAAGGTTCCGAACGATTACCACTTGTAAGTAAGGGTGATTAGTCCATGTTTCCACATTATCGGAACCTGCATTTCGTCGAGACAACGTTGAAAGAACCGAGCTAATGGTTCGGCAAGGTTCATGGCCGCTGTCTTCGAGGCCTTCAATTTGATGTCATCCACGCCAGGTGAGCCGTGCACGCAAAATGACATTAGCGTTTTCATCATATTGGCTGCCGTGAACGAAATGTGGTTTAACCCTGGTGGCGACGGAAGCTGTGCAAAAAGCGGATGAAATGATGATACACTCCGGTAAGCATGGATGAAGTGTTGGCGAAGCACGTTGGCTGCATCTTGTGCGCTTTGCGCAAGACCACCTGTTTCACGTAAAACCGGGCTCCCGCGCTACATTCTGCGGAGTTTTTTGACGTGTCTATACAACAACTGGGGATTTGTAGTGAATCTCGCCGCTAAGTTCTGTTGGTGCTGGAGTTTGTCTTCGCGGATCAACTTGACGCAGTGGTTTCCTTGAGTTGTGTAAGCACCCCAGGTTAGGTTACTTGGACAGACTTTGTAAGCGCGCCAGGCTGAATACCTTAAGGCCATACATTTTCTAGTACGGCTCCTCAGGAACGAATTCATTTGCTTCGGGCGAAGGACCTTGCTTTCTGACGCATTTGCTACACGCTCAGTGAATTGGGTGACGAGCAACATCCAGGCGACATCAGGCGGCTTCTAAGCCAGGAAGGACCAGTCGGTTTCTTGGACGAAGTTGGACAGTATATCGTAATTTGTAACGACAGGTTTAGACGTTGTTATCACTGATGTACTTCGAGTAAGAGATGTAACGAAGGAGCAACATCGCGTGCTCGCTACGGCCAGCGGGGTGCATCTGTGGTCACAGTGTCAACCATTGGTTCCTCGTTAGAGAGCACAATGTCCAAAACAGTGGGTGTGTCACCCGTTCGGAATCGCGTGGGGGAGGTGACATGGTTGTACAGAGGTACATCGGCGATCACCTCTTGCAAATCCGCCTTGAATTGTTCGCTGTGCGATGCTGGAACTTTGATTGCGTGCAGATTGAAGTCCTCACCAGCAGGACGTGACTGTATGGTCGTGCCAGGAGTCGTTTCATCGCAGAAGCTAGGCATTGATCTATTTCCAAGGTGGACATTGGAGGGCGGTAAACTGTTGCTAGTAAACACACAACAACTACGACACAGCATACGACACCAAAGGGAATCGACGACTTTCGTTTCTGGGTCCTCAATGACATCAACATGCAGGTCGGATCGATAATACAGGAGCACTTCTCCTCTGCTAGGTCAATCGTTTCGTATGGGTCATGCCGGGTAGTGTAATGTCAGCATCCGTGATCTTGTTCAGCCATATTTCGGTGATCATAACTAGGTTCCAAGGCATGGAGACCTGACGAATACGAAGTTCGGTTAGGTTGCTGAGAAGACCTTTTGCATTGGTATACAAGCACGTGAGGACATCGGTGACCAGAAGCGTGTTTGAATGCTGATTTCCGGTGAGGGTCTAGGCCGAGAGCTTTATGGTAGTGTTTCATGTTCTCCGTTCTGGAGGGACCAGTGGCTGCTTACTTCGGTTGGACAAATGATGGGGCCTTGAGACCCGTGGTGGTATTGGCAGTTGTAACTCGTTTGGCAACCGGCGAGTTTGCGATGCGAGGTGCCTCCGTCATATGGGTAGCAACAACGGACGCGTATATTGTCGGGCCTTTAACAGTGTTCAGTGTGGCAGATGATTCTGCTGAAGAATGTGTGGCGAACGTATCTTTATGAGCAGCCGCTAGTGTCGGGGTGGCTAACTCTGGATCGTTACTCTTACACTGTGCTGCATTGGAGCTTGATGTTGAGCATCGGGTTCGAGGCACTGATTTGTCTGGTTCATGTGGGACAGCTTTCACGGCTGCTGCCTGCTCTACAATCTTTGTCAGCCTATCGCACTTCTGCGCCAACACAGTTATGCATCTGACGAGTGGAAAAGACTTACACTCAGTACGGAATCAGAGAGAATCGGTCGTACTATTAAGATTTTTGATCTGGCTGAGACTAAGGCGAGCACATGAAGAATGAAGTATTTTCGACTGTTTCTGTATTCTATTCCAAATCACATAGGTTTTACACAGCTGTCTACGCCACAACTAATGTTTATTTCGGAAGCTTTAGGCTTAGCTTTCCGTGGGCAACCAGTACCTGCTATTGTGACTGTCAGATCTGCGGAAGCCGTTCGTTGCAACGTCTGCACTAGTCTAGTGAATCCAAACGCCGTCGGTCAAGCTGGTGGTCTGGCAGACATCTGTTCGATTGCTGTAGAATAAGTCCAAATGGCGGACACAGACGGCAGTTGGGCCAATCAGTGAGATCTCCGACAGTAGCCGAAGAATATCCACCAAATTTGCACGGATGGAGAAATACACCAAAAGCAAAGTATTGGTGCAAAATTCACGCAGAGAAAACACGTATAACACAGTAGTTCCAAAGCAAAAGTAGAATCCAGCACAGTAAAGCAAAAATTGCGGCGTCCGTGGGCACAGCCAGCAGTTAAAGCAAGCGTTAGCCTTTTTGGATGTAGACTCCCAGACCTGAAAATCAGTGACAACGAGCTGTTTGACGAAGTTAACAACGTGTGTAAGTTTGCATCAGCCGACGAAAATTCCTATTGGAACTGTAAAGAAATAAAGGTTCACAAGCGGTGGCTAGATGTGTTTTCCCATTCCCAGGCCAACTCGGTCCCATGTGAACAAATACAAAACAATGAATTTATTCTCTGCCCCCTGGGACGAATGCACCTACCGAAAGAATCTTCGCACACATGAACACTATATGGACAAACGCAAAAACACAGTTTAGTGTTTACACACTGAAAGCGATGCTAATGGTGAAATGCAATTTTTGGGACATGAACGCCAGATATCCCTGCGAACGACTTCACGATATGTTGATGAAGCGCCCAAATACATTCATCTAAAAAGTATTGCTCTACAACTGTGGTTCTGGAATCACAGCAGCAGCACATCAACTACAGTAGCACGGTCATTATACTGGCTAATGACGTAAGTACTTTTGTGATTGCAGTGAAGTAATACATGTCGATTTTCGTTTTTCAATTGTTTGTGCAGTCTACATGTGCTGAAACAACGGAGAGTGCGTTAAACGTCCCGCTCTGGCCCGCAAAAATCTGCCCACCTAAATCATGAGCAACATTAAAACATGCTCGTTAAACTCACTCAAAATCAACATTTTGTAGGTGGACCTGACAGGGTAGTCAGAAGCAGCACATCGCACCAGATAATACCCTGACAGTGGTTCCAACGTCAGATTCTGTAAGCTCAGGGTGTTTCCTATGGAACTAGTGACTTGGCGCACTTCTTCGGATGACCCATTATTGGGCAATAGTAGGTCACAGCTCATTTCCAGTGAATGTAGAATCCTTCGCTGCTCACGTGATGCGGTCGAGGAAGTGAAATAAAATCTGATCGGACGTGGTTGATCAAAAACGTAGAACGGCTGCACCGGGTTAGGGGCAAGCTTCAGCGTAGAATCTGAAAACCACAAACGATACTGTGATTTAGCTGAAAATCAATAACGGCTGTTCTTTACTTTAATCAGCACACCAACTTGCATTGTGTACGCATGTGTCTATGAGACCCGAAACGCTGGAAAAGCCGGTCGATTCATATCACGTGACCAGACGGCTGCTCGCCCATCCTGCACTCGCGCACTCCATGTGGATCAGCTCATGTCCGCTTGACCGTAGCCCGTGGGCGAACTGCATAGGCCTGAAACACAAGTGGGAGCGTGTCGAGGGTGCGTCAGCGCAAGACGTTTGTGATACCCAGTGCCCAGCTTGAGACTTATCTAAGACCCATGCGACATCTGAGAACAAGATTCGGTACACATAAGGAGCGTTGAAACTAGTAAGCCTGGAGAGATTGTCATTCACTACTTCCTTGTACCCTGTTAGTATACCCCTGGACCAAGTACTGTATCTAAAATGTGCGTCCACATGCCTTCGCTCCGTCTACTCAGGTGGTCGATCCGCTTGTAGGAAGCCGTTGAGCAGGTCCACTTATCCACTTCAACTGCATATGTACCAGTCACGTAAATATTGTGTTACGTTCCACTTATTATTGATCGAGGTCGTGATACCACTGGTAGTTGGTGTATATAACCTAGAGCCATGTGGGTTCTTACACCTATCACTGACACTTCCGGTCGACCAAAGGTTGACAGTCTCACAAACTACTTTGCTCTTTGATGAACTGCACCTCACTCCGGTGCTACCAGCTGAATCACTCAAAGCTTCCCGGATCCAGCGGATGTAATGAAGTAGTTTCGGAGGTGGTGTCAATTTGTCCCCGCAGACGTTCTGTTAACAACAGTGCAGATACTGCCGCTTATGGACGTAATCCACAATTCTGGGGTTGGTGGTATGATGAACCTTCGTCTGACAACTCGCTAAACTGAAAGAGTATGATTTGAATGGCTGATCTCCGGCTCCCGCTGGGTTCCAGTCCAGAACGCTCCTCCACAGCCTTGAGGGTAATCGTATAACTGGCCCAGGATTGTGTCCCCATTCCACTGCGCAATTAGAAATGGGTACTCGGGTAGTAGCACATTCTCCAACAACAGTGGGTACAAGGTGCCTTACGCACCTCGGCCACCGCCTCCTCTGGCACTTATGCACTCTTCATTTCTGTTTCTTGAACAACTTTCTGGTAATGACTTTGCCGAGAGCCACTTGCTTCCACTCGTGGCCTCCTTCGATGACTAGCTTTGTTCCCACTGGTAACTTGCAATCGAATTGCCTCGTGCGGCTGTTTTGTGTGTCTACACTGGTGTCATTTGCTATCCACGCTTACCGCCAAACGAAACTCCGTTACGGGACACAAGTACTATGCGTCAGTTGACGTACCCTATCCACCAGAGAGCCAAGTATCACATGTGCCTATTTGGTTGGAGAGATGCAGCTACCTACCCTTGACCTAGTGTCAGCATTCGCTAAATGACAAATCCGAGGCGATACTATTGGAGTGGCTTTTGCTTTACGTACGACTGCACGCAGTCCGAATCATGGCTGCTGTGTGGTTCAAAGGTGTCAGGAAGAACGGCGTACCATTATTACCATCAGTGCATTGGTTGCAATAGAATATATCTAAGATTCAGTCAGAAAAGTCATCAGTAGTATACCGGCACACTGTACCGACGCTTCGCTGCCACGCGACCACTACCGGTCGCGCGTGGGCTGAGTATACCGCGATGATGCCCGCCCCTACGCGGATCCGAACCGGTGACTATAGGATTGCAAGCTAGGCGTGCGATCTTTTAGCCACGGGCGGCAAGACTCAGTCAAGGATGACATACGTCGAGAAATGCTGGGCATTGAACTGACTTGGATAAATCCACAGTTGTCGCCATTTTCCCCTTTTCCAACGCCCAAGTAGACAAAGAGTTGCTGTCCTAACAATGTCACCCTGGTTGTCGACATTCGCGTAACGAGGATAGCGTGGCTAAGGGAGACAGACCATTCAACTTAAACAAAATATTCATCTCTTTCTATCAAGCTCTGATTTTATACCCACCAGCGGTTTGCTACGGTATCTAGTGCTCTCCTTCACTAACGCAAGCACGATTGTAACGCGAAGGTGTTGCATTCTGAGACTAAAAACATGTTGGCCCACGGCGTGTCAACTTATCCGTTGCTATTTACTGGGCTAGTCTCCGAAGCGTAAACATCATTGAATGACAAAAAATCGACACCTAATCTCTTGATGCAGCGGAACTATCAGTTTTCCCTACCAGGGTAGCTCAAGTTCGATCTGTCGGACCGTAACCTGGAGGTAACGAACTTGTAATCTTCCCGCGTAGGAGCGGGCGTCCTCGCGGTTTACAGCCCTAGGACACCGAACGATTTAGGATCTCACCACAGACTTTGTCTACAATGGTCTATGGCCTGATTTTACACAACCCGACATGAATCCGGATAGGCGTTAAGAGTGCTGATTAGGCAGTTGTGGAAAGAAGTTGATTTACTAATAAATAAACAAGCAGGATCGTTGGAGCGTTTCAATTGTGAAATAATTCCCGGAGACGACATCAGAAACAAGAAGTAGCGAACAAGCTTGTTTTCAAGGCTTCATCATCAGGATGATACAACCAGGATAAAGCAATCTAGAATAGACACAATGGGTTTAAATTCGGTGAGTCGCTGGAGCAAGGTAATTAATCGATAAGTCTACGTGATTGGTCTGGTTGATGTGAAGTCAGGTGTAATGGCTTGACTGCCATTGTTAGTCGCGTTGATCAGTGGCCAAGGCAGGGTTAAAATATGGACGAGCAAAAAATGGTATACTTCTCGATCTTGCGAGACACAGACAGATTACGTCGCCTGATCATTTCGTACAGCATAATCGAATAGTGGAGATAGTTGTTCGAGTATTTAATGGTTCCAATGGAGTATTAAAAATGTTCCATCATTTAAAAGTAGTAAAGGATGGCGAGTTTGAGAATGAGAATAAATGTAGGTATAGCCGGCAGTTCGAGTAAAGTAGTACGGCAATCCATGGTACCGTCTCCTCTGCTGCGGTACCTCGAACAATGGTGAAATGAATATTGTTAGCCGTAATATCAGGAATTTGGCCAATGGAATGATTTTATAGAATTTATTGCAAGCCTGCTTTCCTTTTTAGCATCTGCATTGTGCAGAAAGGTCCATTCGGCTAGGGTGATAAAGGAAAACTTATAGCATGTTTGTTACGCAATACTTCCGATTCCATAAACAACGACATTCATAGGCCGATAAGGTTTCTCTTTTGATTCAGTTAAGAAAAGTGTGGGGAACTCACCGTAGCGCACACGACCATTTGCCAATCAGCGTGCACTGATAGAATCAGTCACGTTCACCGCCTATTGGCTGTTTGGATAGTTCCTTTGATCCATCTGCCCACTCTGTTATGACACTTGCATCACACGCACTGATCAATGTGGCGGGAAGCTTTGTTTGTATGGTTATAACCGTCCTCTGCGTCTGCTGCAACCCCATGTTTAATCTTAGTGGATACCGAAAATCCATGTGTCCTTTATCTGCTGTTGTTGGAACTCGATTCCATTGTGCAGACCAAGTACATCTTGATTCCATTGGTCCAACGTTTCCACTTTGGTGAACAGTAAGTGCTGGATTAATAAGTGCATACAACTAGGCTTTGAAGGCCACAGTTTTGTGCCTCGAGCATGAGAAGAACTTTCAGAAAGCTCGATTTACCCTTTGTTGCTGTTGATAATGACTGACAATGACATTATTGTTCCTTAGTTCTCGCCAACTTTGTACTAGGGGATGACACTACGGATACCCGGCGAGTTTACTGAGTTCTAATCCGGGGTCACTTCCATGTACTCTCTAGTCTTCACCATCGGGGCTTAGTGAGACGCACAGATCAAGCATCAGAATTCAAGCTGTCCATACAGTGCAACATCTATTTCTGCCATGTCCTACACACACGTGTTGATATGCAAAATGCCTCTCCAGGTGTGCCGTGCGTCTTCTCGTATACTTACACTTGTAAGTACAAGGCATAGTCAGATGAACCACTTCGTCTATCTAGGTAGCTGCATTCAGGTTGTTGGAAGTTAAATATGCAAGTGCATCGCAAGGACCAAAATTACCGTGTGCCAGTGATCCTACAATGGCACTCTAGTTTTATACCCGCCTCGTAAAAAAGTGAAGTTCATGGCGATGTTGAATGGCCGCAAATCCTGATTGACTTCCGTGCTCCGGTTTTCTTGCTCAGAAAAGTACAGTTTGCGCAGACGAGCAAGTTTGTGCGGATGAAACCTAGAGGGACTACCCCACATGGAATCAGGTCCCCAAGTGATGATTTCACGGATGGTCGTATTACTTTAGTCGAATTGATGGCCATACCTACATTTACTCCCACACTCTACGTTCCATATTTTTATGCTTTTGCTCCATAGCTCAGCCTAAAAACTCCTTTAGAAGCTACTTTGTAAAACAAGAAAGTCTTTATCTACTATCCGCCTATGTTTACAGAATGGCCAGACGACGTATTTGGTCTGTGCCTCACAATGTCGAGGATATGCCATTTATTTAGTTAATTAATTGCTTCTAACGGTGAAGATGACTGTTGCGCTTTTAGAAATGAGAGCTTATTGTCTCATATGCCTGCCACGTTGTATCATTAAGTGTAGTTTACTATATTCTAGCCGTGGAATACAACAGACCATCATGACTCGCTTCAGGTGAGCACAGAATTACTGCACTCGGAGAAACCGAGTGGTGATCTGGCTAAACTAAGCAACATCGTAGGAAAGATCTGGCGTCCCCATACACAGTGTTTGGATCCGCGTTGATTTCAAATTAGGACCTCGATAGCTTAGAATACTTCATGATACGATGCAAAATGGGAAACGGTGGGGGTCTATGGGGTGGAGTCTATGTGTAAAATGATATATATCCTTAGCAGGAGTGGCAGCAAAAATCCGCAAAATTGGTGTGCCAAGAAACGAAGAAGCTGTATTTTATTTCATTTGAGAGAGAGAGGAAGGGGAGAGAGTCAGCTCACAGTTCCGTGTTTTGATCGTGAGTTCGCATCCAATATCATATACCGTAGACACTATCCCATTTTACACGCATGTTAGCGCATTGTACCAAGCTTTTAGCGTAGCACCTTTTCGCAATCAGGTGCAGTGCTTTCAAGTTAGGGAGGCTAAGAACGCTGTTTTGGCGTTGACAGTCTCATTGGTCATGGGACGTTACCCAACGGGGCATCGGTTGGAGGCCCAAAGCATAAGCGACAGACAGTCCAATGAACATGGTCGAGCATCACCTTCTGTTCTATTTTGGTGCCTATCTGAAGGAAAACTCGCTAACTTGGAAGCACTGCATGCGATTTTGAAAATGTGCCACGCTAAAAGCTTGGTACAATGCGCTAACATGCGTGTAAAATGGTGTAGTAGAGCTTGGCTTAAATTCTTGCATTCAAACAGAATATTTCATGAGAGAAACTCACCATGAAACAATACTGTCTGGTTGTCGATTCCTCCGGAGCAGAACATAATTTGAACTTTGGGGGCTTTCGGCTTCTGCTTGATGTTTAATATACCATCCTCATAAATGTACGTTTGACTTGTGTCAGTACAACGGGAAGACGACGTGGCAGATACGGGACTCAAACGTGTCTGTGCCATCAATGTCTGTCTACAGCTGATGTATTGATTTGGGTAAGTGTCCACATTGATGGCTCGCGGCAGCACACATCGAGGTGTTATGCTTCGACTTGTCCTCACCAATTTTCGCACTGTTCTAGTCAGATTCAGTTCCTTATTAAAACATTCCACCTCGACCGGGCCATCAAGTAGCATGCTGAAGGGCATAGATTTTGTAAAATTCCACACCAGGCTCCGATGTAGCATGGAGTAACGGAGTTGACAAGAGACCGGAAAGTAGTGCTCTATATAGGAGGTGCTTATTCGGTTTGGTCCGTTGTGCACAATTTCGCCTTGCAATTTTCCAGGTTGATTGTTATCCAACACAAATTGCATTGGTTGGATGTGGAGGTTCAATTGATTGGGCTCAACTGTGGAAAGCAGAAAAATTGCCAATCATCGGTTCCCGGTGCTTTTGAGCAATATTATTTGCGTAAAAAATAAACTTGTATTATCAGGGTGCTATACGATCTGTATGTCAATTGCCTATGTGGAGTAGTATTTAATTTAGAAACCATCATACTTCAGTGAAACACGAGTAGATCCAGTCCTTACACCAGCTAGTTTGCAATAAAGATGTTTTGCTCACTCGGCCGGATAAAGGCGCTGGGATAGTTGCTATGAACAAGGTAGACTACATCCGGAAAATGCACGAACTATTGCCAGACAATACCAAGTTTTCGAAGCCGGTTAATGAGAAAGACAAGACAAAGCAGATTGAAACTCAAATCTGCAACTGTCTCAAAAAGCTTAGGGATGGGGGCTACATCAGTGAGAATGTATGTGAAAATCTACGCCCCCACAGGCACCACAATTCCTAGACTGTATAGTTCCTAAAACGCATAAACCTGAAGTCCCCTTACGACCAGTCTTAGATATGAAGAACTCACCGTACCACTCTACGGCACGGTAGCTGGTCGAGCTTCTGGATCCTATTCGAACAGGAGTTGCTGTGCACAGCCTTAAGGACAGTTTTGATTTCGTGGTTACCGTGCATGATCTTAGTGTCACGGATCTGGCCATATGATCTCTCGATGTGACTTCACTTTTTACAAATGTGCTGTTATATGAAACCACAAATTACATCTGTGATTATGTCGAAGAAGACCAGATAGCTATTGGCATACCTACGGTGGCGCTTAAGAAACTGCTGTTTCGTTGCACTTTCAATATCCATTTTCTATTTAAAGGTGAATTGTATCGACAGACTGATGGAGTTGCTATGGACGCTCCACTCGGACCGTTTCTCGCTGTTGTATTCATGGGTATGCTTGAACAGGGTAATTTGAAATCTGTCATCATGAACCTCAGTCTTTACCGCCGTTACGTCGATATATCTTTGTACTGCTACACTGTTCTCGAACCATCGAAAATCTTACCAACGAAATCAATCAGCCGCACGAAGCACTGAAGTTCACCTCCGAAGTAGAGCTAACTGGTACATTTCAGTTCCTCAGGATGGTAATGAAGCGACTCGAGAGTGGCATGGTACAACATCACGTGTATAGAAAACACACCTGGAATGGACCATACCTGAATTTCCACAGTCTCGTCCCATTAAAATCAAAATCTACTCTGATCAGTAGTCTAATAGGCCAAGCAGAAAGAATCTGATCACAAGAAACGTTTCCCGAAGAACTGAAATACATACGTTCGACGATGAGAGAAAACCGTGATGATGAGGTATATAACAGCCTAAAACCGGGAGGGTCCAACATACCTCGGCTATACAGTTTGCCAAAGACCCATAAATGTGGTATACCGCTTAGACCAATCCAATGGCAAACGCGGCACAACATAAGTTGGCTTGTTGGCTGGTGGAAGTTTTTGCGCCGTTAAAGCAGCAGACTATCCTACACCGTCTGAAGAACTCTTTCGAACTTACAAAGGCTTTAGATGAGTTTAACCTATCCGATAAAGTCATGTCCACATTGGATGTACAATCGCTTTTCACCAATGTTCCGCTACATGAAACAGTTGATTACGTGTGTGAAATGTCAGAGTGCTCCGATCTTACTCTTCCAATGCCAGTGGAATTATTAAAGGACAGTTTACTACTATGCCCTGAGAACATCGGTTTCCAATTCCAAAACATTCCCTATCGCCAGATATATGTGGTGGTAATGTATAGTTCTTTGGGTCCAGTGCTAGCAGATATTTTCATGTCGATGATTGAAACGAAGTTGAGTGTGGAAATATCGCTTCTTTCCTACTGTAAGCCATATGTGGATGATATTTTAGTGTTTAGCTCATCAGAGGAGCACATTACTCGTCTGGTCGATCGTCTGAATAACGTGGATACGAATCTGAAAGTAACCAGCGAAACAGAGAAAAGCAACTGCTTGCCATATCTGGACGTGTTGATTTGCCGAAGAGCAGATGGGTCCATCAAGAGAGGTTTACCGAAAACCGACTTGGTCAAGGCAGTACCTGCACTTTACCAGCTTCTCCCCAATGCTGTACAAGAGGACCTTAGTCAAGACGCTATTCAATCGTGCAAGGAAAATATGCACTACCGACAGTTTAGATGATGAGATAAACTCGCTCAAGGATACGCTGTTGAAAAATGGCTATCCAAGAAGGTTCATCGAAAAACATAGTCAGGCGAAGGTGCCGGGACAGAAGGCTTCAACAGTATCTAAAAATAAGATATACATCGAGCTACCATTTAAGGGAGATTTTGCCAATATGAGGACAACAAAGCGCATAATTTCCGCAGTCCAGAGGACTTATTATGCTGCGGAAACTGTTCTTATCAACCGGACTAATAGCATACCTGTTACCCCAATGACGGAAAGACAACCTATTGGCGCCAACTCACATTGTATTTACCAATTTACTTGTAGTTGTGGTATACACTACATCGGCCGTACCAATAGATCGTTGAACTCCAGAATAAGGGAACATGTACCTAAATGGTTGCAGCGTCAAATCACCCAGTCGTCGGCCGCTCATACCATCTGTTCACGTAAGCCACCTGCTTCATCCATAGGTAGGCATTTACTGGCCACCTGTCATCAGTTTGATCCGGCCAAAATGTTTACAATCGTGTTAAGACATGCCAACGCCCGTTTCCTACGTTTCGCAGAGGCAGTCGCGATCAGCCGTATCAAACCCGCACTCTGTGTGCAGAAACAGTTGTTCGTAAGCCTACGGCTGCCCTGGGCGTAGGGGTGTCACGCCTGCCCTCTACCCTGTTCTAACTTGTTCCGGTCTCACCCTACCTGTCGTCTTATATATTTTCATGTTATTGTGTTGGCACTGAAGAGACAATACGAAATGTTGACATCTGCCAGTGTTCGTCTTCTTATGGCTTTATTCAAATTACTAAAGGGATTTAATTGTTTCAAAAAGAAGAAGGCTCCCGTAACCCTTACAGTCCAGAGAAAACCCATATTACTTCAACTATCATTCAAGGGAGAAATTGCTGCTGAAATCATCACTCGTGGCCTTTCTCATGCCCTCAGACACACTTTCCCAGCAGCTAAAATACAAGGCCAGTTCGCTGGTAAGCAAATGGTTAGAACTAGCCCCAAAGACAAGAGGTCTGTCCACGCCAAAGCAATGTGTATTTATTCTTTCTCCTGTTCCTGTGGGGCAGGGTACATAGGCCAAACGACGAGGCGCCTGTCTGAAAGGGTTAAATAACACCATTCGGCTTGGTTCATGACCGCTTGTCGAAATCCAACCAACCCATCCATATCCACGCATCTCGCCGACGCTGGCCACACCACCAACTTGGCTGAGTCATTCAAAATGATCTGTCATGTACCAGACAATCGATCAAAGTGCGTTCGTAAGCGTTTGATTGAATCCGCGGAGGCCATCGCAATTAGACTGTACAAGCCGGAGTTGTGCGTTCAGAAACGGCTCGTTCAGACGCTAAAACTGCCTTGGCCCGCCCGAACTGCGACATCCGATTCACGAATTAGAGTGTACGGCGAATCATATTAACTGCTTTTGGATTTTTGATAGTGTTACTTTGTATCTTATTTTGTTGTACTTTTGCACATTAGATGAGGTGTGTTTCACACACTCAACTAGCGTGTGTTGATGGTGGCCATGGGGATGTTTTGCCGGCGAGATGAATGAGCAGGGGCGGACAATCAGCAGCAGCATCGCAGAGCTTGGGGATTTCTGTGCTGGCCACCAGGTTATTTATTAAATATCACAAGAGATTTACGGTGCTGTGTCAAAGCCAGTGTGACAGGCTATAGGATCACTGAACACTCAGTTCTGTAACTGGAGGTGAACACTTAACGGAGGGAGGATGAACAACCTTGATGGCCACCGGCTTCTGTGAAAAGTGCTAACAAACACCAAGTAGGCGAATGAGCCATTCGGCTGTCAACAGTCTTCGTGAATCATCCTGCTGCCTTGCGGGTCAGGTGCTTAAGACCAAAGGCTTGAGGTGGGTCTCTTAAGTCAATCCTATTCTCCGGCGTGGGCAACAGTGACAATCTTTGCCCACATAGCTCATAAACCCTAGAAGTACTTCCACTGATTGCCTGTCTTTCTATTTTCTGTGGTTGTTGCTGATGTTGTCGTCGTCGTCGTCGTCGTTGTTGTTGTTGTTTGTTGTTGTTGTTGTTGTTATCCATGTTGCGTCCAATCTTGGACATGGTGGGTTCTCCCCAGCATTTGTTGGCCCAATGGATGGTGAACAAATTGCAACCGTTACGGGACGTGGTTTGCACTTACTGCGTGAGAGACTCCTTCGAATTCATTGAGAAGATATCTGAACTCAACTTTACTAACAAAAGGATGATATCTTTTAATGCCCAGTCGCTGTTTACAAACATTCCCCTGCTTGAAACGGTGGAGTACGTGTGCGAGTTAACCCGGCAACTACCAATATATGCTAACTTTCCGGAGGATCTGCTAAAGGAGATACCATTTCGCTGCACGTTAAATGTTCAATTCATGTTCAGTGGTGAGATGTACCGTCAAATTGATGGAGTGGCCATGGGATCTCCTTTGGGGCCGTTGTTGGCTGATATCTTTATGGCGAAATTAGAACATGGTCCACTCAGGACGCACATCTGTGGAACTGAAATGTACATACGGTACGTCGATGACACCTTCGTGCTTTGCGAATCCGAAAAGCATGCAGAACAGTTGCTGAAGGCCTTTAATGATGCACATAATAATCTACGCTTTACCTGTGAGCACGAAAATAAAAACCGTTTACCTTTCTTGGATGTAGAAGTCATCCGCAATTCGGACGGCTCATGTAGCAGAAAGGTACACAGAAAGCATACGTGGACTGGACAGTACACTAACTTTCGCAGCGTGGTGCCTTTACAGCACAAGAGGAGTTTAATCCGGTCTCTTGCCTTCAGGGCGCGCAGTATTTGCACTCCGGATACCGT